TTAATATACAGTTGGGGGGTGGGGGACGAACGAACGGATCTGTACATCGATGCAGTTATTCGACCAAGTGAGCCGACTGGCGCGGTGCGGCGCGGCGCGGCGCGTAGACTCCGAGTTTCCTGGCCCACGAGTCTAGTTGATTCGCCGAGTAACAAGAGGCGAGTTTCGTTTACAAACCCCTGGCGTTCTCAATTGCGTCGCTGGGGTATTTCGCAGAGTGCCGTTCGCTGCTGACGAACGATCCAACGAACGCAACTCGCAAATCACGCGATCCAAATTTAAAACGGATTATTGTGGAAAAGAAATCCGATTTCCCGACCGGTTTAGCTTCGGACGCGAATAGATCGTCCGCTAGGATGTCGAATTATAAGCGACGCCGCTGCAGGTTTTCTTTTCAGTTACAATTTTGGAAAATGCTTGCCGGGAAAACTTTCGCGAAACGTCTATTTATACTCTAGGGTTCAGCAATCAAGAAACTTCCGGCGAAGTTCTATGAAACGGTGGTACTTAAATTGTTTCAAAAGTAGTGGAAGAAGGACGGCCGGCTCGAGTAGTCTGGAAGAGCTTCTTCAAACTTGAAATCCGGCACGGTCCATGTCGCTGACATCGTTCAATTTTCTTCGATCCGATCGTCCAAATAAAGACGAATGCGCTGAGGTCAGCTACCCCGATTCTTGACATTTATTTATGAAGAAGATCGCGACCACCGTATCCGCGAGAACGAAAAATCAATTTCGATCGATTTCAGTTATGCATGTGTTATGTTAGTATGTGTGTTACCCGACAACAACCAGTAATTCTTATGAAAAGCGAAAATATTCTGCATCACTCGCATGAGACAAGACATATGTAGTTAGTAGAGGTCACTTGCAGTCGAAATGATATCTTGTCAAAAACTGCTATTTTCCATAAACCATTATCCATTTAAAAAAAACCAAGTTGATCTCCGTAACTCGGAAGGGTCACGAATAACAAAAATGTAATTTACGTTCAGCAGTGCAGCTGAACCGAAACCGTGTAAACTCCTACTTTTAAACATTATATTATATATAATTATATTATAATTATACATTATATATTATTATATATTATATTATTACATTATATTACACGCACAACCCATGCATTTTCAGACACGTTCGTCACAATGTATACAATATGTATATGCTACAGCAGCTGTTCGTTGCTACATCCTTCGAAAATTGCGTTTCGCCCGACTGTTTAGGAAAAGGCAGCATTGCATGTTGGTGTAAATCGAGCATGGCGCGCGCGGATCGAATAAAAACGGCCCGCAGGGATCGCTGAACAGGAAACGAGGCACAAGAAGGGATCGCGGGAGCGCTCGCGGCGCGTGGAAAACTTTGCGATTCGAATTATTCGATTACAGATCCGACAAATCGTGACGACCGCAGCGTCAACATTGTTAACAGAGCGTGGGACGGAATAGATTAATCGAGCGTGTTACACGTTTACACGGTGAATCCGATTGCCGCGCACCAACGACAAACGGTGATTTCTAGTAACGACCGGGCAACGGTGGCCGACGCTTTTCCCGAATCCCGGAAACCAGCGTGCCGCTCGCCGGGAAACTCCTCGCGCGCAACAAATCTTGCGACCCTAAACGAACGCGGGGCTTAACGTTCGATCGTAGCGTGGCGCTACGAAAGCCTCGTGGTCACGATTTGTTCCATAAAACTGATTATCGACTCCGAGCAACGCGGAATTCCGCTTTTCTCAGCCGGAATCTATCCGTTCGAAAACATGCGAACATGCGGGAACTCGCGGTAATTTTCCATCGCGTTTTGCCACGGTACAGGGGCACGTTAGCAATTAACCTTTTAGGTACGACTGAATTCTGCGCGAGGCTATTTCTCTGGACGGCAGAGTCTGATGTGTACTGTACAGAGTCTGATACTGTATATACAGGGTGTCCCAAAAATTGAAAATGCCATTTGAAACAACTTTGTCCTTTAACAAAATTTTCTCCGAGGCACCGTTAACGAGTTATTAACGAAAAACAGTGACCAATGAGAGGCGAGCTCGGCTGGCGCGAGGCGATCGAGCCAATGAGTGGAACTGGGCATCGCGCGCTGGTTAGCTGGGCCGTCTCGCGTCAGCCGTACTCGATTCTTATCGGTCACTGTTTTTCGTTAATAACTCGTTAACGGTGCCTCGGAGAACATTTTTGTAAAGGAAGAAGTTGCTTCAAATGATCCGAGGAACCCGCCATTTCCGGATTGCGAGACATTTTTGGGACACCCTGTAGACTGTTGTAAATCGATGCGAAGACAAAAGAAGTGTGAAACAATGCATACGAAGACGATTATTTGGTTCAAACGATGAGCGAGTGAGCTACTAGAGCAAGCCACTATAGTGGCGCGTCGTCCAGAGAGATGACATCCGCGAAAGCCACTATAGTGGCGTGTCGTTCTGAAAGATGACATCCGCGGAAGCCACTATAGTGGCGCGTCGTGCCTAAAAGGTTAATGTTGCAACGGCGGCCCACCGTTCCTGGCAATCTTCAATAATTACGTACCGTCGAATTCTCGTCTTCGCTCACAATCGGTCCAATATGCAGTCAGATTGGCAGAATAATTAAGTCTGGCCCACTAGAATGGGAGGACGCTCGAACGATGCAAATTAATATCTCGTTCGCACCATTCCTGTTCGCGGCATCGATCCGACAAGGATCTGGAATCGGTCGGGCCGCCTCGAGTCGCGTCGTGTCGCGTCGTGTCGCGTCGCGTCGAGTCGCGTCGAGTCGAGTCGTGTCGCGCCGCATCCAGAATCGTAATAGCCCTTGCGAACCAGAGCGCAGAACCCAGCTTGCATTCGAAATATCAGCCTATAGATTCTCGAGGATGCGATTAACTGCATAGAAATGCTTAATTCTACCATCGTGAATTTATCGAGCCTCCGTTGAAACCGCTTAGGAAGGTTAAAAGTCGAGATCGATCCGCTCTGTTCTCCGTTCTCGAAGCAATGACGAAGTTCGGGACAACAGAGGCCCCTCCGGAGGTTTCGGCAGGACAACAGACTCGCGGCGGTGGGGGGAAGGGGACACGTGTTACTTCGCGTTCGTGAATTTTCCAAGGCAACGACCCGGCGAAATGGACGAACTCGGTAAAGTAAGTATCTCTATGGACATCTAGGAACCCGTGTCCCCGAATTTCTTTACGACCGTACACGGGAAAGGCCGGTCAAATGCTGTTCACCTCTTCGCGTCGTGCTATTCTCGTATCGATCGTCTCGATTCTACCGTATGTCGTAGACCAGCGTTCTACATTTACGCGAGCAGAATTACGGGGACGCAAAGGATCGATATCGGTCGAATCCGAAAATAATATCACCGATTTGGGTGTTCTTCGGGGCGACACACACGTTCCCGACGGCGCGTACAATGCGAGAACGGGATTCGACGGCAGCACGCAATTAGACAGACGTAAACGCGTCGGTGCCGTGTTACGCGAAGTTTAATTCGAATTTAAAGTTTCGAGAATATTACGGCAGCTACGGCGGCGGCCATTCACGTGCTTCAAGAGTCTCTTTAATGTTTAATGGTTCATTTCGGAATTATTCGCGGGCTATTCATATGCAAGTAGCGCAGCAGTTTCCTGCTGTTTCGAGGGTCCCTTTGTAGAATGACGAATGCTCCGCCAACAACCGGCCGAATCTTTGCCGATATTTCGGTCGTAGTCGCGGAACAACGAACGCGTGCGGCTCCGTAATGCGTGCTACAGACAAACTATCGTACTTTGGTATCGCCGGGGAAGAGAGTCGAACAACCCAGTGATTGTTTGCACGAGAAATTCCATCGATTGTCACGGTACAACGAATGAGAATACGAAGAGAAAAAGTCGAGCCTGTTTTTTGGAGAATAAGGTAGAGGAGTCAATTACTGTGCCCTGTTCGCGGACTAAAAGTATCCGCAACTAAGAATAATTTTAGCAATTTAATTGAGATTTCTTAGGAATTTGAGGGTAAATTTGAAAGTTCCTTTTATCGTGAGACAAATATATATCGAAGCTTCTTTGAATATTAGGAGAAAGAATGTATATACGCCTATCTATCTACAAAGATCAGTTACTGTGCCCTTGCTCCGAATGCCGAGCCTCAATAATTGTGCACGATAAATTTAATATTTGACATACTCCAATCAATTTCATTTTCTATAAAGAAAATGTAATATCGTAATATGTCGTTTAAGAGACCACATTAGAGATGACTGCTTTAAGAAAATTTCATATTTACATTTCTTCTCATTGAAAATATGACAGAGATAATTTGAAATTCGAGGTTATGTAGGCCTATCCTGTGGTAGGCGGTACGGTAATTTATTTACTTTACACAATAATTGAACCTATTTTTCGATCGATGCGTCATTTACACAGTAAATAAAAAATAAAATATAAAATAAAATTCACAGTAAATAAATTACTAAAATTGAAACCAAAAACAAAAATTCAGATAAATAATCACTGTTTTATTTTTCCGTAATCTGAATACATTTTACCAACACAATTAGTCATGTTACTAAACAATAATAAATCGTTCTAGGTTATCTTATCTAGAACGATTTATTTTATGAAAAATTGATCTTCATTCGTTCAGTATTCTTTCTTAAACTTTTTCACAAGCTTTACAGAAAATTTCACGGATCCAATATCAAAAAATTGAAATAATTCTTGTGATATTTTAAGAACATCCATTTTTTGCATGTTGAATTTTAACAAATAAACGATTAATTGAATTTATGAGTGCAAAAATTTAATATATCTTATTCGATAAATGTAAAGTTATATTTATGCTTGAAAATATACTAAAGGCGCGGTAGTCGGAGACAAGACATATTTAGTTAGTAGAGGTCACTTGCAGTCGAAATGATATCTTGTCAAAAACTGCTATTTTCCATAAACCATTATCCATTTAAAAAAACCAAGTTGACCTCCGTAACTCGTAAGGGTCACGAATAACAAAAATATAATTTACGTTCAGCAGTGTAGCTGAACCGAAACCGTGTAAACTTCTACTTTTAAACATTATATTATATTATATATTATAATATATATCATATATATATATATTATTATATATTATTATATAATATTATAACATTATATTATATATTATATATTATATACATTATATTATACGCACAACCCAAAAATTTAATATATCTTATTCGATAAATGTAAAGTTATTTATGCTTGAAAATATACTAAAGGCACGGTAGTCGGCTAGCCCACAGTAACCGGCTTCACTACCCTATTCCCGACTAAAATCAGACGTGCACTGTGTTGAATCATCGGTAGCCTGCGGACGACAGAAGACGACAGAGGAACATTGCAGGAAGGAGCCACTAACGACCGAGTTCCGCTGTTTTGCTAATTATCCAAGCTCATCCAATCTCGCCGCGCTCGAGGAACCCTTTATCCTCCCGGGCTACCCTCCTCGGCCACCCTTCTGAGCCACCCTCCTGAACTGCCCTGCCATACCGGTAACTCTCGTCATCCCCTCCTCTTATTCTTCGGTTAGCGTCCAGCTCTTTCGCGCATCCTTGTATCGCACACCCTCACGAGAAACGATCGTTAGTCAAGGACCTCTCTCGCGAGGCAGCTACTTCGCTCTTGGGATTATCGATCAGACCGCCGAACCAGGTGTGACTGCAGCCTTCGTCTTCGGCAGAAGAGTTTGGCCGAGAATTTAAAGCGATCGGGCTCCGACGCGAAGCGAGCTTTCTATAGGGTAGTAGGAGCTGCTGACTGCGGGGTGATCAATTGCTGTGCTTTGGTTTGTTTTCGGGCATAATTAACTTTACACTTATCGAATAAGACATATTGAATCTTTTTATTCTGTTATTTTGTGTATTTTTCAATAAAAAATGTAATATATCTTATTCAGTGATCTACATGATTTTATGTGTTTTAGAAAGAACATGGCCTAGATGCATGAAGACCACAAGTCTAGTAATGATGATCAACAACACGAATGTCTGATGAGATTAATAATAAAATAAATTGATGGTAATAGTTGTCGAGGATACAAATTCGTGTAGGATAGTGGAGCTGATTACTGTGGGGCGACCAGTTATAATGTTCAAACTTTGTTAGTGTATTCTATGGCACAAAGTAAGAAAAAAATGTTATGTGAATATAGGTCATATAGAGCTTTATTAAGAAGTTATAACAAAAATTCAGAATAGGAATAGTAATCAACTTGCTGTTACTGCGAGCATTGGCTTGAATAGATCAGCACATGCCGTGTGTTTATGTAAGCTGTGTTTATTAATACATTCCGAAATGTATTAATAACCGTTGTTGACAATACATGATTGACATGGATCGAAGATTTTTTTTTATTTTTTATTTTTTATTTTTCTTTTAGTTGATTACTATTCCTATTCTGAATTTTTGTTATAACTTCTTAATAAAGCTCTATATGACCTAAGTTAACATAACATTTTTTTCTTACTTTGTGCCATAGAATATACTAACAAAGTTTGAACATTAAAACCTGGGACACCCTGTATAGTTAATTATGCCCGAAAACGAACCAAAGGCAGAGCAATCGGTCAGCCCACAGTAACCAGCTCCACTATCCCATCCCTATTTGCGAAACCAATCCGAGCGTGTAACGAGCCGCCTTTGTTCCTTTCCCTCCTTCCTCGGACTCTTTTCTATTCCATCGTCGGCGAAAACGGATTTGCGTTTCGACGTAGAGCACAGAGTACATATTCCGTGAATTCTGCCGGGCCGATCGCGAGTCGCAAATCACAATCGCGAGACGCCGGAGATCAAATAATAAAGTCCGCGGGCCCCCCGATGCAACGCGCTTTGTCGTCGCTAACGAACGTAAAGTATTTGTGCGCCGGCGGACTGTGTCGTGGCTAGACACAATAACACGGGACTCGGATACACGTACAGGGAGGCGAGGGTTGTACGTATGTGCCGCACTTCCGACCAGGAACCACCCTCGCCGTTTCCGGACGATGCATCATTGGAGTCCGATAAAGTTTGCGAGTCGGCGAAACTCGCGGCGTAACTAGAAACCGAGGCGAGGGCCGGGTTAGGCGAAACAAAAAGGATACGACCGCTATCTGCCTGGTGGAAGGGAACCGAGCCCGAAAATTTCGGCTCGCCGCGCCGGCTATCCTCCTTGCGTTTCCGACGACACCGCGGCAAGATTTATGCAGACATTTTCCGCGGCGTCGCCTTCCCGCGTCGAAGTATTATTTTTTCGGGAACACGTTATCGCACGCGATAAATATGGCGATGCACGGTTTAATTTAATACGAAATCCGTACCGGTTGAATTTCCACGACGCAGCCATACTCTTTTCTCATCGCAGTGCCTCGAGATGGATGAGGCAGAGGAACGAAACGTAACCGTGACATACAGCGACTCACGAAAGTATCGGGATACTTTTCACAACGGAACAACTGTCTCAAGATTGGATCGATCGACATGAAATTTTGTAAGGTGTCAATTTGTTCTCAAAATACATAAAATCCGCGGTTCAGTAATAACTGAGGAATCGGCTTCCCAACCCCGTAATACCCATAAACGAAGGAACAAAGGTCTGAGATTTTATAGAATTGCGTTACTACAGGCACAGAACATTATTTAGCACGTTGCAAAAATTTCAAAAAGTTCAAGGACCGATCCCTCGTGTTCATCCTGCTGGATCCACTAGCCGTGCACTACTTGTGCCATGAGATTCTGCTCGCTCCTCCTGTTTTTGCAACCGCGTCTGTTTGCCCGAAGTCGAATATGCCACCAGAATTCCCACGGACCTCCCACTGGAAGCTCCTCGAACCAATTCGGAAGACCATCACAGGTCGTGGCAACGAAAAAAAAAGAAAGCAATTCGTATTATTTCCCGCGAGCACGCGAAATTTCCAGCGGATCGATCGGCCCGCGTCGCGACGCGTCCTGTTTTCCGCGAAAGAGTGAATTTCACCGTCGAACGTTGATCTAGAAAAAAAAATGCGAGCCAGTCGAATCTGTGATACTTTGCTGTTGCTGCTGCCCGACTCCCGATGCATCGAGGCGCTCGATGCTAAGCCGAAATCTGAATCTGGCCTCTTTTGACGCGCGATTCATCGGAACAACCGAATGAATGTTGCCTGTTCGATCTCGTCTCTTGCCTCCCACGTTGGGCTTCGCGATGCTAAAACACATCGTACCGGCGCCGCTTGACCTCCATTCATCGTAATATCCCCAGCATAGTTTCGATGTTTCCTGATAAGGGCCCGGCGTACAGCGGGAAACTGGAAACGCGTAAAATCAACGCGCACAACAGTTGCTCGACAAACAGAGATTTCATTTATTCCAAAGTTACTTCTTCTCGCGAACACTTCGCCAGCGTGGGAATTCGAGCTGCGTTCAACTTTGAATCGACAAGCTGGGTCGCACGGTGGTAGGATAAAGTTACCTAATATGAGGACCTCTCCTAATATTATATAAGACTTATTTATTTATTATATAATATATTATATAATTATATATATTTATTTATTTATAACATTATACAAGACTTATTTATTATATAATATATTATATAATTATATGTATTTATTTATTTATAATATTATATAAGACTTATTTTCGTTATAAAGTCGATGTAGAAAATATTCGTACACCTCTTAAAGTGGTACAGTAAATTCTCCCTAGAAGGCCCGGAGCTCGGAATTGAAAACGGTAATCGCCAGACACTCGGACACGATTCTTCGAACCTCGCGGCTCGTTTTTATAGAAACTCGGGGCAAGCAGCAACGGCCAGCATATTGGTGTACATTGATATGAAAACATAGTAATACTAGAATGAAAACGATGATTTATCTTTTTTATTTCTAATTTTTTGCCACGATTCGAAGACAATTCGGAAACCACATACATGCCACTACAGTAATTCCTCCCTAATTCGCGCTCTAATTGCGTAAAAGAATGGGCAATTTGGGAAGAGGGAGATACGATTATTCGAGCCTTGCGTTTCGTTTTTATAGTTGTTGACAATCGGTAATTGTAAAAACAAGTCGCAAGGCTCGGATAATCGTATCTTCTCTTCTCAAATTGCCCATTTTTGTGCGCAATCTGAGCTCGAATTAGGAAGAAATTACTGTATTCGAAAGCAACTCGGAGGCTACATGCCACTATTCGAAGACAATTCGGAGGCCACGTGTCACGATTCGACGGAAAACCCGACGGACGTTGCGGTTGGTCACGTACCTTGTAGCTCCGCGATTCTTCTTACCTGACTCACACCCGAACAGACCATTTTGTGTTGTCTTCCGTCGAATCTTAGCATCGACGTGGCAATAAATCACGTGGCGTAGGACTAGCACAGGGAAATTCACAGCAATCCGAAATTTAGCAGTTTAGGGAGAATTTATTGTATAGCGTTTATATATATATAATTGGATCAAGCGATCTCAATTTTTTAGGATGCTAGAGAGATTAGCCAAACAGTGGCTAAAAAAGTGTCTTCAAAAATTGCAATTGGTTGGCGTGTTAAAAGAACTAAAAATATATATTTTTCTCAATTTTCTTGTCCGAGCCTATGACGAAAATTTAAGAAATACATTTTTGTCATAATCAATTGCAAAACTGATTTAAAATTAAGATCGTCGTATTAAATTATAATGTTCTAGTTATAGTCAAAAATATCGGAAAATTATTGATTTTTCTACAGAAATAAGTAGGCAAGAATTGTGTACGTCTGTGATGACTGATTTTCCATCTTGAATCTATCTTGATAAAATATTCAAATTTCATAACCTCGAAAACACGAGCGTCGATTTTCATAAAAATCGTGTGAAGTTATAAATTGTGGTCAATTTTGGGGGGGGGGGGGAAGTTGTCACCGTGTGTGACAATTCATGAACGAATCCTCCTCTGTCAACATTAAATTCCTCAAAGATACCAGAGGATATTTGGCGAACAGATTAGCGGTGCGTAGAGGACAGCCCCGATACGCAAATTGGAAGTTATCGTTTGTATCTAATATTGACGTAAATTATTAGAAACCCGGTTGAATTGCAACTGATTCGGAATTTCGTGTTGGACTGGATACCGATACAGCCGCAGATATCGCCAACAAATTGGCGGTATAGATTATCCTGGTAAATACGAGCTCTGGCTAACGAGGAATTCCATCGATGTACCACTAATCTCCTGGATGGCAAAGCACAGAAATTGCTGGGTATCTAAGATACCAAATATCGATATCTGGCGCCGATAGAATAGCTCGACGACTTTCCGAATTGCTTTCGATCTGAAATTCTCTCGCGAATCTGTCGTCGTACGAAATCGTCCCAGCGACGGATCAGCTTTACTATAATAACGTCCATTTCATCTACCACATTTCATCACTTGTTAGAATGCGTTCCGTGTACGAGGTGCACGCACGCACTCTGTCTAAACATTTTATAGAAGTGATTTAAAGCACGAGCTCGCCGCGAATTGCTTTCGACAGGTTTGACATGTGCGCTCGACAACCGATAGCCGACGATCAATTACCAACGATAAGTGGTTAATAAGTTCGCGAGGTTCTCGAAAATTCTCGAGGTCTGAAACGTGTTAACGCGTAAACGCGCGCGATTGCATACGCGTCAATTGAACGTAATGCCTAAATAAATAATAGAGAATCATCTTCATTGTCGTGTCCCTTCATGGACATCGTAACAAAATCGGCAAACGAAATTCTTTAGTAATGATTAAACTGCGGATCTTTATATGAAACTCGATTTTAATATTTACTTTGATCGGAAATGAAATAAGAAAAATTAACTTACAGACTCAAAGATTTCTGAAAAATAAAAATAAAGAGGAAGTAGCAATAATTATCATTGATGTACACAATTTCATGTATTTTGGGAAGTTTAACAGGTCCTAAACGCATAAAGATCCGTAATATAGTAATGATTCTGTAATAATATAGTAAATTATTAATAAGTAAATTAATATTAATAAGTAATATTTAAGTATGAGTAATTATTAATAAGTACATTATTCTGTTGAAAATAATAATAATA